CCCCAAAACCCCAAAACCCCAAAACCCCAAAACCCCTAATTTTGTATAAAAAATTGAGTCTAAGTAGTATAATTATTAATCATCAAATGAAATCGAGCAAGAAGAATTTTATGACAGAAGAAACTCCTTCAGGGTTTAAAGTTCCTGTAGCAAGGAAAAGAAGTGCTTTCCAGCTTGTAGGACCCTCTGCCAAAAATTCTAGCTCAGTTTATCGGCTTCAGAACAAGCCAAGTGGCTTCTCCAGGCAGAGAATGAGGCTTTTAAACCTGATTTGTAAGCTGGTTGATGATCCAAGTAGCTTGTCTAAAGGGGATAAGATCACTCTGATGAACCATCCTATTGTTAAGGATTTAATTCGGTATTCTGAGATCAATAATTGCGGTCCTGGAAATTTTTATGTCCCAGTAGAAAGCTTAGTCGAAGCTGTCTTTCAAGATGCTCCCTCTTGCAGGGATGACACACAGCCTGGAGTTGAAGTCCTTTTCCAGAAAGTACAGACAGAGCAGAAACTTTCTACCCTAACTAGAAATAATATAGAGAATGATGTGAAGGTAGAAGAAAATTTGAATTCTCAAGAACCCTTTCCTTCTCGACCTGAAGGTTTGGAGAAGATTGGGTTTTACACAAGGGCTGAAAGGAGGGAAAAAATTCAGAAATATCGCAAAAAGGTACATAAATGGCTACATAAGAAGAAATCACGTTCTTACCCTACCCAAAACGCGGGATGTCTGAGGAAAAGAGAGAAAAAGGACACTTCTACCTCCTCCAAAGGGGTCTTTCCACATGATTCTTCTAGCACATGTTTACACACCCCTAGCCATGGCCACCTGCAGCAGTCTTGTTCGGAAGAGTTCTTGGGTAACTTTGAATCTGAACCAACCAGTTTGAACCTGAATGATATTGTTGCCCAAATCTCGGGAATCAACTAAATTAAATTACGTTTGAAAATGATTATAAAAGATATCGTATCCAGGCTTTAGGAATTCAGAGTTGGAAAAGTGGAATTTTTACGACACAATTCTGGCAAATAGGGAGATTTTAACCAATTTTCGGAGTTCAACTGTGGGATTGATCGAGGGGTTTTGGGGTTTTGGGGTTTTGGGGTTTTGGGGTTTTGGGGTTTTGGGG